GGATGATAAATGGCGGCTCTGCGGGCGGTTTCTAGCCGCCTGGCTTAAACGCGCGCCAACAGCTTCCCTTTCCGCCCGCGACGGACCACTTGCAATAAATTGGACCCGCGCCTGCAGTACTTTTGAATCAGCCCTCAACATCGAGGAATGGGCCTACAAACACGTCAGGCTATGGCGCACGGCCGCGATTCCCGGCCAACGGTGGAGGACTTCCATGAGGATAGCTCATGGGTCCAGCTGGCGAAAACCCACTGGCTTGGGACCTCTAAGGTCCGCAAAGCCAAGCAGGATGTCATTAGAAAGGATTTATGGGAGCCCTTAGAAGCTGAAAACTTCAGCCTTCGTTCGCTCTTGATGCTGGAGAATTTGAATATCCTGGAGAAGTGCGCACCGCGACTGTGACTGACGCTCTTACGTCCCTTGAAGCTAATTGCCTACAGATATCTTTGGCCGACATATTCGGAAGATGCGTCCAATCACCATGTGCTACTAATTGCGCTGATTGTTAGCATTAAGCAGCGAGATCATTTGCCAATATGGGGTGCGTCTCCGTACTTTCAGGCCGGACATACCTGTGAAAAGCTAATGGACTTTAGAAACCTTCTCAGACCGGCCCGACGACTTCTCCAACCTTTTCCATCGGATCCTCTCTATGAGCGTCGACAATTCTCTGTCCACCTTCTCCCGCCAATTCGTATTGTCTTTCATTATCAGTGCTTTTCAATCTCTGGAGAACGTACTCATCCGAAAGGAGTGCGCACCTCTCGTCTCGATTTCCATCTGGCACAATCTCTCGAGTGAAGAAACTAGGGATCGGATTCTTGCTAAGGTACCATCCTTAAAGAAAGCCTGGAGGGCAGCTGGGAAGCGGTACGAAGCTGGAGATGAGGTGGCAAAGGCGAAGATGCGATTCGAGCGTTCATGGCTCTTTACTATGCTTCTGGATTTCTTGAGGCGATTGAATGGATCCGAGCAGGAATTGTCCGATAATCTACGCTATTGTGAAAGGTTTCTGGAATACCTGGTGGACTTGGAGAGTCAGCTTCCCACACGGCGCTACGTCAACACGTTGTTGAAGGATCTCAACGTACTCCCGGTTATACGGCTTTCACAAATGTACCGTTCTCCCGAAAATGCCCTCTTCCGCGACCTTTTTGAGCTTCTTAAACATTTTTCTGGATTCGCAATCGACGATTACACCGGCGAGCCTCTTGACCCCCAGGCAGTCTATGAGAGCCATTCCCAAGAGCTGGCACATTTGCAGCGGACCGCGATGAAGCACTTCAAGGATAAGTTGATGATCCTTGCTCTGTCAAACTACGGCTCAATCGAGCAACGCTCAGAACTGGAAGGGCAACTGAGTGCCCTAAACGATTCCGAGCTCGAAAGTCTCTGTGCACACCTGGGTTTCCGGACAGATTACCCCAAACAATCCGGGGTCATGCCCACTCGACATCTCTATCTCGAGATACTTTTGTCATTCTACGAGCGCAAGGTACCGTTTCAAGAGACTGCATCTCAGCTCAGCATTGTGCCCACAGAGAAAGATCTCTATGACCCTTCATTCTTGCGAAACGAAACCTATGACGGATCTCGACCGCTTGCCATTCCGAAACTGAATCTTCAATATTTGAGCCTTGGCGACTTTCTTTGGCGATCGTTCCTGTTGTATCGTTCCGAAGCTTTCTTCCAGGTCCGAAAGGATATGGAAGCAATTATCAAGCGGATGCAGCCTCGGTCAAGCCGCGATGGCAAGACATTGACTTTCGATGGTTTCTCTCGCATGGCCATTCCCATCTCGAAACCAGCCATAATCGAGGTTGCGCCTCCTAAAGTAGGCTCGTCAGAACCAGCTTTTGTAAGGGCTGAGATCGCAATTGAAGTTGGCAGGTTAGCAGATCATATTCGGAAGGAATGGGACTCACTTCGTCCAGATGATGTCGTCTTCCTTCTAGCTGTCCAACCCGGTACCGCGAACAATTCCATTTTCAGGGACAGCTCAGCAGAGACTCCGAGTCTGTTACACCTCAGGACTGCAACAGTGGTTCAGGTTCTTGATGAGCAGGGTCGCCCACTCCGTGAACCAGTTGCGGGCCACACGAATGGATATCAATCTCGACCTCGCCTCCGGAGATTGCTGCTCAATCTGGATCCGTCCTCTTTCAAGGCTGATAAGGATCGCACCTCCCAAGGGAAACAGGACATTTATCCTTTGATAAACGTGATTGCGAGACGGAAAGGGCGGGAGAACAATTTCAGGTCGATACTAGAGAACATGCAGAGGCTCATTGTCTCTGATGTTACCCTTCCTTCTTGGATTCAGGATATCTTTCTAGGATACGGAGACCCTGCAGGTGCCAGGTATACTGAACTACCAAACCGACTGAGGTCGGTTGATTTCCGAGACACTTTTTTGGACTGGCAGCACCTAGTGGAGAGTTTCCCAGGATGCACTATTGAGCCCTCGGGTAACGAGGCGTCCAGTTTCGGTCCCCCGTACGTAATTGAATACGTTGAAAACTCTACCAAAGCCCCTTCAACAACATCATCGAAGAAACGGCGGAGAGACCCGGTCGAAAAAGAAGGAGCAAGTGCAGGAGTGATACGCGTGTCCACATACAAACAGCCGAACCCAGGTCCCTATCCCGTCGATGCTCCCAAACTCAACACCATTCGATTCACGCCAGCTCAGGTTGAAGCTATCGCATCCGGCACGCAGCCCGGACTGACTGTGATAGTTGGCCCTCCTGGAACTGGTAAAACGGATGTTGCAACTCAAATCATCAATAATATTTACCATGACTTCCCGAAGGAGCGTACCCTTCTGATCGCGCACAGTAACCAAGCTCTTAATCAGTTGTTTCAGAAGATTGTGGCCCTAGACATCGATGAGCGTCATCTTCTTCGACTCGGCCATGGTGAAGAGGAACTCGAAACCGAAACTAGTTACAGCAAATACGGCCGTGTCGAGTCATTTCTCGAAAACCGCAATTTCTTCCTCGCTGAAGTGACACGCTTAGCGGCGTCAATTGGTGCAGAAGGCGCACACGGTAATTCCTGCGAGACGGCTGGATATTTCAATACAGTCTACATCCAGCCAGCCTGGGCGAAATTCTTCGACCACGCTCGTGCCGAAAGTACAACCACTGAGGATATTATTGCGTCCTTCCCATTCCATGCCTATTTCTCAACTGCCCCTCAGCCTGTGTTCGATCCGGCCGCTTCGAAGGAGACATTGCTTGATGTGGCGGAAGGCTGTCAACGGCATATCGACAAGATCTTCTCTGAATTAGAGGATATTCGCCCATTTGAGATTTTGAGGCAATCCCGCGACAAGGCAAACTACCTCCTTGTGAAAGAAGCGAGAATCATTGCTATGACATCTACACATGCGGCAATGCGTCGACAGGAAATCGCCGACCTTGGCTTTCATTATGACAATGTCGTGATGGAAGAGGCAGCGCAGATCACTGAGATTGAGAGTTTTATTCCATCCACCCTACAACACATGAAGAATGGCGAGCTCCCTCTGAAACGCGTGGTTCTTTGCGGTGATCACCTTCAAAACTCTCCGATTATTCAGAACCTTGCTTTCCGCCAGTACGCCCATTTCGAGCAGAGTATTTTCCTACGTTTGGTAAGACTCGGTGTTCCTGTGATCAATCTTGATCAGCAGGGCCGAGCAAGACCTAGCTTGGCAGAACTCTTTCGGTGGCGTTATAAGCAGCTTGGAGATTTGCCCATTGTTCACACGGCTTCAGAATACAAGCAGGCGAATGCTGGCTTCCAGTACGATTATCAGTTCATCAACGTCCCAGATTATCAAGGGAACGGAGAAAGGGAGCCGACCCCTCACTTCATCCAGAACCTGGGAGAAGCCGAGTACGCTGTCGCCATTTATCAGTACATGCGACTTCTCGGGTACCCGGCATCAAAGATATCCATTCTTGCTACCTACGCAGGCCAAACGGCCCTGATTAAAGACGTTCTTGCCCATCGATGTGCTAAAAATACACTGTTTGGCATGCCAAAGATCGTGACAACTGTGGATAAGTATCAGGGTGAACAGAACGACTGTAAGTTGAACCATCTGGCGCGATGAGTTATGCTGACCTGGGATCTGCGCAGACGTTATTCTTTCCCTTACGCGAACCCGCACAGTGGGCTATCTCCGTGATGTTCGCCGCCTTACGGTTGCTCTTTCCCGTTCCCGTCTGGGTCTCTATATCCTCGGTCGTCGCGAGGTGTTCGAGTCATGCTATGAACTCAAGCCAGCCTTTGACCTTCTCCTACAGCGCCCTGACAAACTCAAGTTGACCACGGGCGAAATGTTCCCAACCACACGATCGCTGGACGACGAGGTTCAGGGTACGCCTATGGAGGGAGTGGAGCATCTCGGGCAATATGTGTTTGAGATGACTCAGGCCAAGGTTAAGGCATTGGGTGATCAGGACATCATAGTAGATGATGTAATGCCTGACGAGGAAAATGAGCTGTTGGACGAGGATGAAGTCATGCTTGGAGCGGGCGATGAGCCTGAGGAGGACCTATTGCATGAGCATACTTGAATAGCCGTGCAGGAGTCGATTGATGCCAGCAACTTGACGTCATCATTTCTTCTACTGGGTAGTCTGTCTGTAGGGTTGCGTTCGAAGTTCTCATGTATATTCGGCACCTGATCTGATATATCACAGTGGTGCTTTTGATTTAACCCCAGTGCGGTGTGCCTTAAGCCGCTGTGTGCCTGCCGCCTCCCCGGCCCCCTAAAATGAAGTAATTTCCGAAGTGTGGTGAATAAGTTCGGGGTCATGAGAGATGTACAAGATGTTCATTCTTTCTATGTACAACGGCATTCCTGACTTGCTTAGATCTATAGAGACTTCTCGGATTCTCTAGATGGGAACCATATGTATTTATATGCCTCCTGGATGAGTGTCTCAGCTGTGATGGAAAAATCTACCAACTCTAAGAGTGCAAGCCGGCAAAATACGACGGCTTTTCTACGATTCCTTGCGTCCTTCGAGTTCCTCGACAATGTTTTTGGGGTCTTTCCAGCCGAGTGCAATGTACCTGCCGGTTAAAGCAGTCAGCTATTCGAACGGTGTTATCGGTGAAGCGCGAACACGTACTTTGTATGACTGCCTCTTGCGAAGACCTCACCCTTGGAGTTCATGAACTTGATGTTTGTGTATGCTAGGGTTTTCCCGACTGTCGACTTGGTTAGGCATATCGATGGACTAGAATTCGCATGTGTCTATGATGACATAGTTCTGGGAGAACTCCTCCCTTGGTCATTGGTAGGAGACTTACACTTATCGCAAGTGACTTCCTGCATGCAAGTCAGTAATTTTGTAAAGATCTTGACCTGCTGAAAAACGAACCGCTTGGATCTTGTCTCCAACTTTGCCTCCGGAACTCAGGTATGTTACTTGTGAGAGAAAGCTCGTATCAATATAAAGTCAACCTTGGACTTATTCTGTACGTCTGGTTTGACATACCATTAAGATCTGTCGAGACGCCAGTCGCGAACAAGCCTCGAGAAGCCACAGCTAGGGAGCCGCCAAGGTCCACTAGACCCAAGGGTCAATGAGATGGCAGAAAGGGCGTCGGGTCTCATCGGTATACAGTACCCATACTGGCTATTGTCCCTCCATGAAGGATGCTGAGTCTATTCTAGTGACATTGTTAATGTATGGCGAGGAACAAGACGCACTCGGGAGACTTACCGTGTGCTCTTTCTGGATATCAAGCTCAAAGTTGACAGTTCCGGGTCGTGCAGCAGTTACACGGAGCTGAGAGCGGTTATTAGTATATCCCGATGCGCGTGTCCGATGCTCATCGCCAGTGGGATCGCAAGGGCAACAAATCGCAATTTTCGAAGAGTTGCAAAAGCAGAATCTTACGTTATCAAGCAGACTGTGACCTCGAGACATATGCTCAGCGACCGTCTTGCTCGAGTGTCAATATGAGCCCTCTGTCAGTACTTACCGAGGCTCTAACCCTGAGGTAGCCCGAAAGGACTCCCAGACCTGTACAAAACGGTTACTACGAAAGTATCATTTGAATTGGATGAATGTGATACTTACAGATCTGACAAATCGCAAAGCTGTCATATTTACTCGGTGCGAAAAGCGCAATTGAAGATGTGAGGAAGGGGAAATGGTTAGGCAAATGGACTATGAAGCTTTAGGAACCGGCTCTCAGGTATGGAGGAAGCCAAACAGTGAGATCATCGCCGACTGCGCTTTGTGGCCGCTATGGTCACCGGACAATATCTGCTGCAACTTCTCCAATCAGACACAGATTCACGACTACCCAGTTATCCTCACCCTTCATCGTTGAGGTTTCTTAGTGACAGCGCTTGATGATGCTGCAGAGATAACGAACTATTTTCGGTCCTGCAGGCAAGATGGCTGCGGCACCACCCCGTCCTTTCGATTACTTGGAGAGCTTGCCTGGGACTGTCTTTAACAAGCTCTACCAGCAGCCCTCCACTGCTCTCGCCATTTTCAGGCGCATGCTGCCTGACCTGGGTATGTGCCTGCCTCGTCATCGCACAGAGAGCCCCTTTTGGACTGATAGATCATAGCAAAATGTTTTGTGATGGCGCTACTCTACCTTAAGGACCCACTTCCAGCAGCGGATTTGGAGGCATGGGTCAAACCAGACAGCTTGAAGTGAGTATCACCACCTTCTCAAAGTGAACGTATCGGGAAGTATAGTCGCTGACTCCCAAAAGAGAGCGAGATAATGCGCTTTCAATTTTGGGCAGGTTGCACATTATGACCAGCACTACGACGTCGGATAATGTAAAAGCATACACCGTCACCGATCCATTTGCATCCTCCCTTCGCCAGGCTCTCACCGGTGCCGAGCAAACTCAGTCGTTTGGTGTTTTGTCGCAGATATCTGACGAAGAAGCTGTCTCCATTGCGCATCTGGACGAGTATGCTAGACGGCAGTGGGAAGGAGTTCTGGGATACATGGTGGGGACAAGTGGACTCGGTATGCAACGAGACGTCAATTTGAGCAAAGGCGTGAAGGAGCTCTTGCAGGCCGGCCACCTCGTTGAGATCAGGGATCGTCGAGTCGAAATTACTCAGGACGGGTTCGCTTTCGTTCTACAGGACGTCGGCACTCAAGTATGGCATATCCTAGTTCTTTATGTTGAGAGCGCAGCGGCCATCGGTATGGACAGCGTCGAGGTTCTTTCCTTTGTGTTCTTCTTGAGCAGTTTGGAACTGGGGAAATCGTATGAAAAGAAGCAGTTGACATCCAACCAATTGCGCACTCTGACCGACTTGGCCGACTTTGGTATCGTCTATCAGGAAACCCCGGATGTCACTCATTTCTACCCGACGCGCCTCGCAACTACCTTGACCTCTGACTCCAGCGCTCTGAGTAATCCTCTCGCTGGCTCCCTTTCCGGACCTACGGGCACAGCCTCGAGCAAAGCCGGTTCGGGATTCATCATCATCGAAACAAATTACCGACTCTACGCATATACTTCCTCACCGCTCCAGATCTCCCTCATTGCACTTTTCACCACGTTGAAATATCGCTTCCCGAATTTGATCACGGGTAAAATCACCCGCCAGTCCATCCGTCGTGCAGTCGAGATGGGCATTACCGCCGATCAAATCATCTCTTACCTATCGACACACGCACACCCACAAATGCGCAAGCACAATGTGACTAGGTCTACTTCTAATCAAGCCGGAATGCCGGTGTCCGTCCTACCGCCTACCGTCGTGGATCAGATTCGTCTTTGGCAGCTCGAGAGAGATCGCGTCAAAGCGACACATGGCTTTTTGTTCAGGGACTTCAACACTCTGGCCGAATACGAGGCCCCCTGCCGATATGCCGAGGAAATCGGCGTTCTGGTCTGGAAATCCGATCGGAAGCGGATGTTCTTTGTCACTCGACATCACCAGGTCGCTGCTTTCTTGAAGAGCAGGAGGAAGTAACATCCTTGCAGACGGGGAACCGACCTAGTCGATATTTCCCGCGGACTAAAATTGTTTCTTTGATGCAATCTTTGATAAGCATGGGACGGCGTTGGGACGCTCTGCTTTTGAATATGGCGGATATTATAAAGGGTCTGTGGCCTCTGAGGTTGTGGACATGCTTCTCAATCGGGATTATACTAAATTCTACACATCAGGCAGGCTGCTTGCAATGATTTTTTAGAAAACCATGTAAATATCAGACTCCGGTGTCATCCTAAGTACAGCAATTTGCAGTCAACACTTCCAACCAATAACTCCTCTGATCGCCTTTCCCAACAGATAGACATATGTCTAGTGTATCCCGACGCCTTCATGTCCCAAACTCCCCAGTCCAGCACATTGATGTGGCCCAGATACCCATAATCCAATGAAACGCCACATGGTGAATACGCACAAACGATCTTTCATCTGCCATAATCTTTCACAAAATAGCCTCATCACAACATCCAACGATCTCCATGAATCGCAATGTACTCGTCTCTGAACTCTCTCAGACTAGCAGACGCCTCCTCCGTCACGCAAACATTCTCAAGAACCATGAAGGCGCGCTTGACACGATAGTTCGCAAGGTTCGTATCTGCTTGGCCCAAAGGCCGGGAGTAGCTCGACAGCATTCCAAATCCAGTGGCGATATCGGGTTCATTGAAAGAATCTTCGTAGTGGAACGCGTTGGTGAGGGTCATGAAACGGCCAAGCCAATACTGACGGGGCTGTGCTTCGGATACCTGGAAGCCAGCAGGAGTAGTCGTGGTTAGCGTTCTCTGCTTGTTGCGCGGGATTCTGCTGGTGTGATTATCATCGCTGGGCAGTACCATTCTCTGAGTGCAATCTTTGTTTCTGGTCGTTGACACTTTTGCATTTAACTCGGACTGTTGGCTTGAGTAGGAAACACTCTGCTCTTGGTCGTCATCAGACGCTAGCTGCGAAATGACCTCTTCTTCAATCTGAAGAGCCTTCAGGTTGGCGAATCCTCTGCTCACCCGCAGTTTCTTGGGCTGCATATCGCTCCTGCTTCTCGGGATGCGATTCGTTATCTTGTATATGAAGGCGGGCTGGTTGTCGGACAACTGACGGTGAGTGAAGGTCTGCTCTCTTGGTGGAAGAGGTTCGCTGAATCGTACTTTCTTGACATTCAGGCCAGCAGCATTGTTTGGAACAGGGATGGAGCTTCCTCTTGTATTCTTGTTTATTCCTTGCTCCTCTGACGCCTTTCTTCCATCTTGAAAGGCAGGAGCGCATGCCTTTGCAGGAGATCTGAGCTTAGCAGGAACAGGTATAGAACTGCGTGGAGGGGCCAACCGAGCCAATGCAGCATTTGAAGATGGAGAGGAAGTAGTTCGTGTGATCGATGAGCGAAGCTTCGATGATGAGTCCAGGGAAAGCTCAGAGTGCTGCTCGACCATCTCGATTTGCTTGAATTCCTGTTCCAGACATTTTTGACAGACCGAAGCAGTTTCAGCAACCGCTTGGACATTCTCAGCAGGTTCGGCAAGCTCAATAGACACAGCAGGCTGGATAGGTTGAGAAGGTTGGGTAACTTGCACTGCCTGGACAGGTCTACCGATTCGGTAAACCCGAACAGGTTCGGTAGGTCGAACATATCGAACAGTTTGAGCTATTTTGACCAGCCGAGGAGGAGTAGGGATATCGATCTCTTCATCTTCGGTTTCCTTCTTTCCAACATTTGAGATGGACTTGTTTTCGTCCTTGCCCGCGTTCCGTCTGAGATTGGTGTAACGCCTGCTCAGTGATGCGAGGACGCTCCGTTTTCCTTCTTTTTGAAACGCTTCGCGAGAGTAAATATTATTGACTGGAGGCTCAGTAGGGACCGGAATCTTCGAATACTTGTGATCGGACGATGAGGTCAAAGTTGACCCTGTGAAACTGGTGGATCTTGAAGACGTCTGGCTGCTTGGTGGAGAGGAGAATGGACTAGCTTTTGCTGTCAAACGGCGGATCGATATCTTGATCTGTCTGTAAGAGTTCCCATTGCTGGCTGTTGTTTTACTCGAATCTCCAGAGCCAAATGAGGAGGACTTGATAGGTAGAGGCATTGAGACTTGACGTTGAGAATCCCATGCTTCGTGTATCTGAGAGTTGCGACTCTTTCCTCTAAGCGAGGTCAAGACGGAGCTTTCTTGCTTGATAGGAAAGAATGAGCCAAATGAGAAGACGCGTCCAGATCTGCCATTGTCCATTGAACCGCTGTCTCTCTCGCTGCCCAGTGGCTGATAAGTGTGCTTTCCACCGCGAGTCTTGCTTCGAAGGGCTTGAAGGGATCCCAACAGAGAAGCCCTACGGCTTCGCTTCTCTGTCATAGTCGGATTGGACGCAGGCAAGATGAGATGAATGGGGATAGATAAAATGAGTTTAGAATAATATTTGGAGGGTAGATAATACGTTTTGAAGATAGTAATATGTGCTGTGTATTAGAGAGGTGTAGATGGTAAGAATCAGATAAAGAGAAAGAACAGACTGAACAGCTGAACGGTAGTATTTATCTATATTTATCTTGAGGATGGCAGTGTATGGTTACCGGAGATATCCGTTTTTGAGAGAGCAGATGCAGTGAATTGCCTCAAGTCTACATAGTATAAGTCTGATAGTAGTATGCCCTTCACGTGGGCTCATTCTCATTCTCATTCACTAGCTCTCACAGTCGGAAGCTTCAAGCAATATACTCGAAGAACTCGTCGCAGCTCAGACCAACCATGCATTGTCATCTCGTCATATTGCAGCCCAGGAGTGAACACATTCACGTCTAATCAGTGTTTGACTCATTTCGGAGGAAGTAGGATGCTTCCCTCGGATACCTTGACAGCGCCTCCCTGAAGCTCAACAGTGTCGATCTTCTTATCCTGGTTGACCACGACCTCTACCCCAATCTCACTGCGTCTACCCATCTCCACTCCTTGCACAATGTT